GTATTGCTGAGCTTGTGCTTCAGCTGCTATAAATTGAGAGAAGCTGAGTTGGAGAAGGGAGGACAAGAAACCCCTCAGGCCCTGAAGGAAGAGTTGGGGCCTATCATGTGATAGTTTTCTAAACCAAGAGGGAACTAACACTGCAGGGACTTAGCAGAACCAGGGCTGCCCAAGAAGACACCCAGGAGCAGAGGAGAACCGTAGCTGCTGGAGAGAGTTTCTGGAGCTCTTTGGCAAACCCTCCAAGCTGTTAATCCAAATTTTATTTCATTCTTCGGTAGATTTACAAAAAGGAAAGACACACACCAATAAATAAATTTTAGAAAAGGGAAAGATTAGACATGGGCCTACAAAGCCCTTTTAAAAAAAATATCAATGCTCCTTGTGCTCTTTTCGGCTCCCCTTTTCTTCCACCCAGGGCAGCCTTGCCAGCTGCTTGCATCTCAGGGTCAGAACCTGGGATCTTTTACATTCAAAACAGATCCTCTAAAAGGAGCTACACCCTCACCCAACACTCATTCACTGCCTCTGCACATTCAGACTACTACTATTTTTTGTTTATGAGTCATAATCACCAGTCTACGCAATCATTTTGAAACATATTCCGCACTAAAGAAGGCTGTAACAAGATACTGTGTCAAAAGACTATTTTGATAGGACTTGAAAATGTTTACAAACTGTTTTGACAGCTATTTAATATCTCTCTCTTGGCAGAATGCTGGCGTGTTTGTTCATTGGATTACTGCATCTTTATATATGCAGCAGGGCTAATGGGTCACTGTAGCTACTAAAGGAGGTCTGATTACTGGTGAACAAATTATGCATTTCAGCTTTGAGATGATGTATTGCTTGTCCTAGCCAGAAGACAGGTCTGAGAATGCAGGTGACAATTCAATGTTTAAGGATGTGAATCTAATAGAGTAGTTATTGTTATTGTTATTATTGGAATTTATACACTGCCCTTCATCCGAAGATCACAGGGCAGTTTGCAATTTACAAACACAAAAATCCATACTATAGTAACAAACAAAAACAATACCCCGCACACAGATTAAAAATACCATAGATTGTTCAGTTAGCCAAAGGCTTGGGAGCCTGGCTCCTAAAGATATGTAGTGAAGGCGTCAGGCAAGCCTCCTTGTAGGGATCATTTCACAATAAGGAAGCCACCACAGAGAAGGCCCATTCTTAGGTTGTTGCCCTCTGAACCTCACATGGAGGTGGCACATGAAGAATGGCCTCAGATGGTGATCACAGAGTCTAGGGTTGGTTTATATTGGGAGAGGCAGTCCCTGAGAGTTGAACTTAATAAGGGTTACTTCTCAATTATACCTGTCAAGTTTCTGGATTGATTTTTTATTGGCACTCAAGAAATCTTCTCTGTAATCTTGTGGCAGATATTTTTTGCCATTCCACAGACCTTAATTTTTGTCTTCTGATCTCTCTCTCCGCTCCCCCCCCCCAGCAGATATAACACACCCTAATTATTAAGCATTTATAGTATTTTTGAGCACAATTACATTTCTTGCAGGGTATTCAATTCAAGAATTGGAGCATTCACCGTTTTCAGCTACTCCAGTTTTGTGCAGCTTTCACTCCCATTATGTTATCCATTTCCATATATAAAACACAGCAAAAAAAGCAATCTTGGTAAGTATAATTGCATCAAGATTGCTTATATACAGTGTCACAAATGTGCTCTTTCACATTAGTAAAACACCACCCAAAGGTAACTATGTGCACCGTTACACAGAATTTGCCCTTTTGCAATGTTTTAGTATATGGACACACATGTTCATATGTGCAGTAGGAAGACTTGAATGAGCTTCAAGAAATGAAAGCGGGATGAAGCTACACACACAGTGGTTTAATCTCTAAAGAAGAATAATGGAGACTTCGTTATATAGGAGCTTCCGGTTGGGAATCCAAAATCCAGGAAGAAATCCAAAATTCAAAATGGACTGTCTGATATGATACTACGAGGCTTTCACGTCTATAGCAGCCTTTATACTCCATAGCAGTGGTCAGCAAACATTTTCAGGAGGGGGTCGGTCCACTGTTCTTCAGAGCTTGTGGGCATCCTCTCCCGAAAGCACCCCCCTCCCAAAAGGACCCCCCGTCTCCCGAAAGGACCCCTACTGCCACTCACGCCGCAGCCGTCGACACAGCCTTGTCATTGGCAGAGTCGTCAATGTCGTCTGCCTTGGCCAGGGGTCCATGGGGTGCAGAGCCCATGCCGCTGGCCTGGGCAGTGGAAGTAGCCTCGCCACCGCTGCCACTTCTTTCCGCTCAGCTCTTGGCCATACACGGCTGCCTCAGCAGGAAGGAAGGGGTGTTGTCCAGAGGCATCTGTGGCTTTGGATTGGTCGCAGGAGCTTCCTGCAGCCAATTCGAAGCCATGCCAGCATCGCCGCCCACCCAGAGGCATCCGTGGCTTCAGATTGGCTGCAGGAGCTTCCTGTAGCCAATCTGAAGCCATGCCAGTATCGCAGAAGTCAGTCCCTGTGTGGCGAGGCCTCTGCGACATGCTGGTTTACCACAGCGACTGGCCAAGTGGACTGCAGGGTCCGCAAGGTTCATGGGCCAGATTGAGCCTGGTGGGCTGCATCTGGCCCCCATGCCTTAGTTTGCTGACCCCTGCTCCATAGGCTCTGAGCCAGATTTTTGTTAAAAAACCAGGAAAATCCTTTGGGTCAGTACAAATGTAATGTTCCCTGCCCTTAACCATAGTTACAGAAGGAACAGGCGGCTACAAAAGTGCTCTTTCTCTACCTTTCCCTTCCTTATACACAATTTTTCTCCCTCCTTCCATCCCATCCCCAAATTTTAAATGCTATGTTACAGGTGCAACCATTTGTGTTATTCATATCAACACTGATGCATATTAACACTGATGCACATATTTAATACCAAACCACAATCAAGGGTGGTGGGCAGACAATAGAATGATGTACACACGAGAGTGGAAGGGTTTGCTGGAAGACGTGTAATCCTGCACCCATTCCCAATCCCTCAAACTGGTAAAGAGTTGCAAGTGCATTCGCCTGAAGGAAAAGAAAGCATGTGCATATCTATGCCAGACTGATAAGATCAAAACCAACCTACTGTCTCATGCCTTTGAGCAAACACAAGTGTAGCAAAAGCTTAATCAAATTAGCAATGATCAAAAATGGAGCAGATTGGCTGGTTTGGCAGCTCTAGAGAAGTACTTTCAAGTGCAAGTGGGGAAAATGGAAGAACAGATAGCTTCGATACGAAGCTTTTTAATGCCTCTGTTTAACCCAAGAGATCAGATCCATGAACTCTGATAATTATTTTTAAGAAAAGATCTCAGCACACAGTGGGGGGGGGGGGAATCAAACCAAGCATCTGGATAGTTGAGAGTTCTAGTACCACTTCAAAGTTCTGTATGACTGATTCTAAACGATTCGAGACTATCTTGGCTTTAGAGTGACAGTGCTTAAGGATATGGCAGAAATGAAGCCCCATTGCTATAAATTTAGAAGACCTACAGGGCTGGATTTCTGACAAGGGACATGGAATGCTAGGGTTAAGGATTCATCAGGTTGTGTGTGTGTGCATGTGCATGTCTGTGTGTAGAGACCAGGGGCACGTGCCAGAATATGCAAGGTTAAGTTTCAGAGAAGGCAGTCCATGATCTAAAGAATCAGAGGAAGGTGCATCCTCAGAACTAGGCAGAAGGTTAACTTTGGGCAAACACCAATCAGAGCATCCAGAGACAGAAACATAGTTAAAGTCCAGAAGTGATCAAATTCACAGTATCAAATAAGTAATACTGGGTTGCTTCTTTGATGACAGTGCAGGTCTGGTCAAAGACAAGTAGGGATCACAGTCAGCAGTGAGAAGATCATAAGTGAGTCCTCACAAGTCAAACATTGCTCACTGAAAAGAAAGCTAAGAGGCCCAGAGCTTTATAGGGCTTAGTGAAAAAGAAATGGCTAGTGAATTTGCCTGACAATACTCAGGTAGACTTTAACTGCAATATCATTGTTGCCATTGAACAACAGAGTTTAGTCCTCTGGGCTTGCTGAGAAGCTAAAGCTTTGATGCATAATGTGCTAGAACCTAGCTTCAAGGTTTGAATGAAGCCAGAAAACACACACACATGTAGATCTTCCCTCAGTCTCATCCAAGAGTGATGCAGAATGCTCCAAGTACCGTATTTTTCGTTCTATAGGACGCACCGGTCCATAGGACGCACCTCGTTTTTTGGGGGGGGAAATGAATAAAAAATTATCCCCCGCGGCTGCCGCCCCAAGCCTCGCGTGCTTCGGGCGGCAGGCTAGCCTCCCAAGCCTCGCGCGCTCGGCGGGACCTCCCACCGGGCGCGCGAGGCTTGCAGGCCACTCGCTCGAGCACGGGAGCCCTCCGGAGGGCTCCCGTGCTCGGGCGACAGACTGCCGCCCCCAGCCTTGCGCGCACGGCGGGACCTCCTGCCAGGCGCGCGAGGCTTGCAGACCCTCGCCCGAGCACGGGGCGCCCTCCGGAGGGCACCCCGTGCTTCGGGCGACAGACTGCCGCCCCAAGCCTTGCGCGCTCGGCGGGACCTCCTGCCAGGCGCGCAAGGCTTGCAGACACTCGCCCGAAGCACGGGGAGCCCTCCGGAGGGCTTCCCGTGCTCGGGCGACAAGCTGCAGCCCCAAGCCTTGCGCGCCGGGCGGGACCTCCTGTCGGGCGCGCAAGGCTTGCGGACACTCGCCCGAAGCAAGGAGCCCTCCGGAGGGCTCCCGTGCTTCGGGCGACAAGCTGCAGCCCCAAGCCTCTGCGCGCCGGGCGGGACCTCCTGCCGGGCGCGCAAGGCTTGCGGACACTCGCCCGAGCACGGGAGCCCTCCGGAGGGCTCCCCGTGCTTCGGGCGACAAGCTGCAGCCCCAAGCCTTGCGCGCCGGGCGGGACCTCCTGCCGGGCGCGCAAGGCTTGCGGACCTCGCCCGAAGCACGGGGAGCCCTCCGGAGGGCTCCCCGTGCTTCGGCGACTAGCTGCAGCCCCAAGCCTTGCGCGCCGGGCGGGACCTCCTGCCGGGCGCGCAAGGCTTGCGGACACTCGCCCGAAGCACGGGAGCCCTCCGGAGGGCTCCCCGTGCTTCGGGCGACAGCTGCAGCCCCAAGCCTTGCGCGCCGGGCGGGACCTCCTGCCGGGCGCGCAAGGCTTGCGGACACTCGCCCGAAGCACGGGAGCCCTCCGGAGGGCTCCCCGTGCTTCGGGCGACAAGCTGCAGCCCCAAGCCTTGCGCGCCGGGCGGGACCTCCTGCCGGGCGCGCAAGGCTTGCGGACACTCGCCCGAAGCACGGGAGCCCTCCGGAGGGCTCCCGTGCTTCGGGCGACAGCTGCAGCCCCAAGCCTTGCGCGCCGGGCGGGACCTCCTGCCGGGCGCGCAAGGCTTGCGGACACTCGCCCGAAGCACGGGAGCCCTCCGGAGGGCTCCCCGTGCTTCGGGCGACAAGCTGCAGCCCCAAGCCTTGCGCGCCGGGCGGGACCTCCTGCCGGGCGCGCAAGGCTTGCGGACACTCGCCCGAAGCACGGGAGCCCTCCGGAGGGCTCCCCGTGCTTCGGGCGACAAGCTGCAGCCCCAAGCCTTGCGCGCCGGGCGGGACCTCCTGCCGGGCGCGCAAGGCTTGCGGACACTCGCCCGAAGCACGGGAGCCCTCCGGAGGGCTCCCCGTGCTTCGGGCGACTAGCTGCAGCCCCAAGCCTTGCGCGCCGGGCGGGACCTCCTGCCGGGCGCGCAAGGCTGCGGACACTCGCCCGAAGCACGGGAGCCCTCCGGAGGGCTCCCGTGCTTCGGGCGACAGCTGCAGCCCCAAGCCTTGCGCGCCGGGCGGGACCTCCTGCCGGGCGCGCAAGGCTTGCGGACACTCGCCCGAAGCACGGGAGCCCTCCGGAGGGCTCCCCGTGCTCCGGCGAGCTGCAGCCCCAAGCCTTGCGCGCCGGGCGGGACCTCCTGCCGGGCGCGCAAGGCTTGCGGACACTCGCCCGAAGCACGGGAGCCCTCCGGAGGGCTCCCCGTGCTCGGGCGACAGCTGCAGCCCCAAGCCTTGCGCGCCGGGCGGGACCTCCTGCCGGGCGCGCAAGGCTTGCGGACACTCGCCCGAAGCACGGGAGCCCTCCGGAGGGCTCCCGTGCTCGGGCGACAAGCTGCAGCCCCAAGCCTTGCGCGCCGGGCGGGACCTCCTGCCGGGCGCGCAAGGCTTGCGGACACTCGCCCGAAGCACGGGAGCCCTCCGGAGGGCTCCCCGTGCTTCGGGCGACAAGCTGCAGCCCCAAGCCTTGCGCGCCGGGCGGGACCTCCTGCCGGGCGCGCAAGGCTTGCGGACACTCGCCCGAAGCACGGGAGCCCTCCGGAGGGCTCCCGTGCTTCGGGCGACTGCTGCAGCCCCAAGCCTTGCGCGCCGGGCGGGACCTCCAGCCGGGAGCGCAAGGCATGCGGACACTCGCCCGAAGCACGGGGAGCCCTCCGGAGGGCTCCCCGTGCTTCGGGCGACAAGCTGCAGCCCCAAGCCTTGCGCGCCGGGCGGGACCTCCTGCCGGGCGCGCAAGGCTTGCGGACACTCGCCGGGGCTGCAGGCTGCTGCCTGCAAGCCTTGTGAGCCCGCGGGAACTCCCACCGGGCTTGCAAGGCTTGCGGATAGCTTCCTGAAGCCTGGAGAGCGAGAGGGGTCGGTGCGCACCGATGCCTCTCGCTCTCCAGGCTTCAGCGAAAGCCTGCATTCGCTCCATAGGACGCACACACATTTCCCCTTCATTTTTGGAGGGGAAAAAGTGCGTCCTATGGAGCGAAAAATACGGTATTTACTGAAGGATTAGAGTCTCAGCAGTTTATGTCGACATGCAGTATTAATCAGCATTCTGATTTAGGTCAGTGTCCACACTTTCTAATAAATCACTCACCATGAAGCAGAATATATGCATGCTGGGGAAACCCAGCCAGATGGGCAGGGTATTAATAAATTATTATTATTATTATTATTATTACTCCTCCTCCTCCTCTTGACCCCGTCATGTGTGGACCCTAATGTACAAGAATAAAATAATGTACAAGAATAAAATACAACTCAGTGTTCGCACAGCTAACATGACTAAGTTACTTGAGGAATGAGATTATCACTCCTGTTGTATTATGCATTCTGAGTCGCCCAACCACTGCCACGGTGTCCTTTTTCTTGGCAGATCAAGATGAGCAGATGACAGCAAAGGTTGCAAGGTTTTTAGCTGGGGCAATTAGCATAAGGTCCACTATTTGGCTATTGATTCAAAACCCTAAAATGTATTTTATATAATTGACTTTTTATTTCTATTCTTTGTACAATGGTACCTCGCAAGACAAATGCCTCGCAAGACGAAAAACTCGCAAGGTGAAAGAGTTTTTCGTTTTTTGAGTTGCTTCGCAAGACGAATTTCCCTATGGGCTTGCTTCGCAAGACAAAAACGTCTTGCAAGTTTGTTTCCTTTTTCTTAAAACCGTTAATACCCAGGGTGCATTGCTTGAAGACTTTGGTGATTTTTGAAGCTTTTCCAAAACTTCTTTTGCAGCCATTTGGTAAGTTAAACTTTTAAAACTTTTTTGGGGGTTTTTGGATTTTGGGTTGCTTCGCAAGACGAAAAAACTCGCAGAATGAATTAATTTCGTCTTGCGAGGCACCACTGTATATCGTACTGTTGTTTTATTGCTTTGGTTGATGGCTGACAAAATAAAGATTCATTCATTCATTCATTCATTCATTCGTGACTAAGTTACCTTAGCATTAGTGCTCCCCTGCCCATTAGACAGGCTGAGGAAGCCACCTTGGACAGCGCCCCCATAGCTTTCCCCCATCTCCATCTCATGGTGGCATCTTCTGGTGAGATCTCGTGGAAATCTTGTGAGATTTTGTGTGATCTGCAAGATCTCTCTTTGACCCATGGTCATTGTTGCTTTGCGGGTGCTGCCACATGACCCAGATAAAGGCAGATTCAGCAAGTGAGGGGACATTAGTGGTAGGGTGGTGCTGGCAGGGCACCTTCCTGTTTTGCTTCACTTTTATGCACAAGCTAACTAGAGCCTAGGGCTTGCCGATCAGAAGGTTGGCAGTTCAAATCCCCGCGACGGGGTGGGCTCCTGTTGCTTGGTTCCTGCTCCTGGCAACTTAGCAGTTCGAAAGCACGTCAAAGTGCAATTAGATAAATAGGTACCGCTCTGGCGGGAAAGTAAACGGTGTTTCCGTGCACTGCTCTGGTTCGCCAGAAATGGCTTAGTCATGCTGGCCACATGACCTGGAAAAACTGTCTGCGGACAAATGCCGGCTCCTCGGCCAGTAAAGCGAGATGAGCACCGCAACCCCAGGGTCATCTGCGACTGGACTTAACAGTCAGGGGTCCCTTTACCTTGACCTTTAACTAGAACGAGAAGAAAATATTTAACACACTTTTTGTTTGTGTCTCGGGAGGTATATGACTTCCAACAGGCTTAGTGAGAATAACCCACATAGCTTGACATTTCCTGTTGCAAGTTTTCAGCTGCACCACGGGGAACCATTTTTACATGTTCATAAAATTTATAGGGGGACATGATTTGAATGAAGGCTTTCAGCTGGTAAAAAAAAAAGTTTTTGCTCAACACAATTGACTGACATGCAAAAGATAGCATAAAATGAAGGAATAATTAAATTGAAATAAAAATCCTTGAGCATCTTCTTTCAGCAACATAACCCCTATGCTGAACATGACTCTCTCTTCATATTCCATCTGCTGCATTTTCATCTGTTGCAACAACAAAATTTATACCATGCCATAAATATCAATATATACATTTATATACTGGAAGTGATGAGAACAAGAGGAGACATGAGAGCCATCTTCAAATATCTCAATGGCTGTCACATGGAAGGTGGAACAAACTTGTTTTCTTTTGCTCTAGAATAGAGGACTCAAACCAGTGGCGTCAAGTTAAAGAAAGATCAGGAATAACTTTCTGACGGTAAGAGCTGTTTCACTGTCTAGTCTCGCTCAGGAGGTTTTAAAGCAGACGTTGGATGGCCATCTGTCCTGGATGCTTTAGCAGAGATTCCTGCATTACAGGGGGTTGGACTTGATGACCCTTGGGGGGGGGGTAACTTCCAACTCCACAATTTTTCTGTTAAACCAAACACCACATGTGCTGAAATATATGTCACGGCTAAAAATTGGCCGCTGTTTCTTTAATGCTAAAAGAACTAAGTCAGCGTGATTCAGCGGCCTACAATGACTCATGCAACCTTTCATCAAATTGTACCTGTATATATAGAGTGGTCAATGTTAGTGTTGTGTGTGGGTTGGTTGGATGGTAGAAAGCTGGTTGCGTTTGATGTGTGTAAAAGCTGTCGGTTGTGGTTGGAGAAGACTTTTTAAGAATAAAAGTAGCAATACTCTGCAAGAATACTCTTTCTCAAAGACTCCTTTGTGCCAACTAAGGTCTGAGGACTAGGCAAAGGAGTAAAAAGGAGGTCAGAACCTTTTTTTCTTTTTCAATAACACTGACAATATATAATAATAATGATGATAATAATTCAAAATACATACACTTGATCCAAGAATTTATCAGCATTGGGTGGCCCAGCTGTAACACACAGCAGCTTCAGAAAGCTTAGAATCATAGAATCATAGAATCATAGAATCATAGAATCATAGAGTTGGAAGAGACCTCAAGGGCCATCGAGTCCAACCCCCTGCCAAGCAGGAAACACCATCAGAGCACTCCTGACATATGGTTGTCAAGCCTCTGCTTAAAGACCTCCAAAGAAGGAGACTCCACCACACTCCTTGGCAGCAAATTCCACTGTCGAACAGCTCTCACTGTCAGGAAGTTCTTCCTAATGTTTAGGTGGAATCTTCTTTCTTGTAGTTTGGATCCATTGCTCCGTGTCCGCTTCTCTGGAGCAGCAGAAAACAACCTTTCTCCCTCCTCTATGTGACATCCTTTTATATATTTGAACATGGCTATCATATCACCCCTTAACCTCCTCTTCTCCAGGCTAAACATGCCCAGCTCTCGGACTTCCGGGGTGGCGCCTCCGGAAAATGGCGGAATTCCCTTCGGACTGAAGGGAACCCGCTGCACGGAGGCTTGGGTCCTGCCGCTACGGCGCAGCGGGGACCCGCAAAAACCACAGGCGGAAGAAGCCTGTGGACGTGGGACTCGGCGGGCACTGAGAGCGCTCTCCCCTGGTACAGGAGCCCGGTAACGGGCTCCGGAGTGGGAGGTGCGTGGTGCTGTGAGTCGTCTGCTTCCTCCGTGCAGCAAAGCCGCACTGCCGTTATCGGAGAGCGCTGCCTTTTTCCTGGACAATTTGGCATCTAAAATATCTATCCGTGAGTACCTGATCTTGGAAGAGTTGAACCACTTTTAAGACTGGTGAATAAACAAATAATATTGGACTTGAAATTGAACTTAATTGGGACTCGGAATGGGAAGGTCTAAACAGGAAGTCGCCTTCCGTTCTTTTGTTATGTGAAGAAAGCAAAGACAAAATATACTAAAGCTTGAAAATTAAATTCTAAGAGAACTAGAATTCAACATCTAAGATTTCTGAACCCCCCCTTTGACTGCAGGAGAAGAAGGGGGTTGTATTTGGACTTTTTAATCCTGCGGAAGTGAGTTTAAAATAAAGCAATTTTCCACCGCCCTGAACCAGGAGCGGGCTGTCAGAATTGACGTTCTGAAGTT